TTTTTTTGAAGTTTTGGTTACTGATATTCTTATACCTGATCTCCATATACCAAGACTGATATGGGAAATCGTTCAAAAAGCGAGTTGTACAAATGATAACTAGTCTCCCCCCCCCCCCCCACCCCGCGGCTCAATCAATTCTGGGTTACAACCTGGGTCAGCCCATTTACAATTATTTCTTGGGTTCAGTAAATTTAACTTTGGAGTGTCCCAGAAATGAAAATGAATTGGGTTTTAGCTCTTGGACAAGGCCCAATTCTTGCTCCTCCTCGATCTAAACTTTTCCTATTTGAATCCACCTGTATTTTTGTATTCAAGTGTCAATTTGAAAATCAGCAGTTGGCAGCTATCTATATCTGTAAAACCCTATTTCTATCAAAACAGAATACAGCTAAATTTACAGGAAGAAAAGCAGAAAGATTGAAAAAATAATTAAATGAAATGGCAGGGTTCTGAATGATGATGGTGGTGGTGGTGGTGATGGTGGTGGTGGCGGTGGTGGTGGTGGAGGACAGTTTTAAGGTCTCAACATTCAACAGTGAAGGATCCCATGAGCGGCAGTAGTCCATAAAAATCAAACCAAACTAGACCAATTTTAGGACCACCCTAACATTCATTCATAAAACTCTACCCAATTACTCCTACTGCCTACTGCTATATCATTATATACATATGTATAAATATAGTGTGGTCCATAATATGAGTGTCTACCATAGTCACAGTACAGGCGCCATCGGATTCAGATCAAATCATCAGATCATATCACCACCGATTTTAAGTGGTCCCACTCTCTCTCTCTTTACACACACACACACACATATATATACATACATATGACCATAAATACTCACATTTTATATTATAATTTATTAAAATTAATTCTATTTGCCTCAGCTTAATCCACTCTTACGTCTGCTCACTTACATATTACTCTATATGAAAATATTAGAATACATTCATTTTACATTGAGAAAACACATCACTGTATACATATATGTATATATATAATTGATCCAATATAATTTAAAATTTCAAAACCCAATATTTCCCTAACTTCAAAACTAAAGCACAAACTACAGTACTACCAGACAATCACTATATCTATCCGTAATATATATATATATATATATATATATGTAGAGGATGAGATGAGAAGGGCTAAAGGGTGGTCCTAGATTAGGTTATAGATAATGAAATGGCCTAGAAAAAACGTAGTTTCTCTTTTGGGTGCAGGTCCAGAATGAATCCAGCTGGTAAAATATCTGCTTCCAGAGATTTTTCCTTCACATATCCAAATCCCAAGACTAAAACTCTATACACCATACTCCTCTCCCGTGGTCCTCCAAATTTCTTTTTTCTTTTTTAAATATATATATATATACTTATTTTATTTAATAATCCAAAAATTTTCAAAATTAAAAATTTAAATTACTAAAAAATTATTTAAAATTTCATAATTTTTATAAGAACAACATATAAAAATAAAGATTGGAATAAGATCAAATATAAAATGAAGTTTAATTTATTTACAATACAATAACTATTAAGGCAGAATATAGGTGTATTCCCTATTGGGGGGTATCATATGTATGCATGTGAATATATGTATATATGCATATAATATGTGTGGGCGTATGATTAAAACAAAACTAGGTAGTGGGTACCCATGAATAATAACAAAAATGCAGAGAAATGCAACCATCAATCCCCCACCTCCCCACCATCTTAGTTTGGTGGAGAGCCAACGTACTCTGCCTCTTAACCAGACACAACCGTACCATACCACTTTGATTTTTAAACATGCATGTGTGTGTATGTTATAGTGTATATATCCGTGTATGTGTGCGCGCGCGCGCGCGTGTGTATGTATATAATTATAGTAGAGTTATAGACTTACAAATGTACGTACTTGTTTTTTTATATTCACACATATATATATATATATATATTTTTTGGGTCTTTTTATAATGAAACACTTGTATCAAGATAGATATGGAAGCATAGAGGGAAATCTTTCTTCGATCTTTGGCTCCATGTATTCTCCACATGATGCCATGCCATGCATGTCAAAAAAAAAAAAAAAAAAAGTCAACTTGATCTAATGATCGGACGGTCGACGCATCATCATATGTTCGATGAATCGACAGATGCATGCATGCATGCACGCACGACTTTCTGTACATATAATGTATCGAATCTAACGTTGATACCATCATCGGCTGCGCGGGTTCAATCTGATATTATATATATATATATATATGCGTGTGTGTATATGTGCACAGTAATAATATCATTTCTTTTTGTTTGCTTTCCATGCAGTTGTACTTTTCTGCTAAATGATACTTACCAGTTTTAGGCTTTTCCAAACTTATTAATGCAATACTCTACACACACACGCATATATATATATATATATATACACACACTAATACATGTAGACACGTGTGTACGCATATGCCATGAAGTTGACACCAATTTTCTCGATCCCGCTCGTTTGGTTAGTCATTTAAAACTAAATTTTTAAAAGGAAAAATCTATACTTATAAACTATATAGCCACCACCCACAAATAGTAAAATCTCTTAAAAGAAGAATACAAAAGAATATAGAATAAGACTCAAATATTCATAGTATCGCGTTATAAGTATTCACCATATTATATGCATATATGATTTTTATGGTTTGATCAGAAGTAGAGGCAGCTATAATACAAAATAATATATATATATATATGTATATAGAGGAAAGTACTTAGGGTCCTATACGTACAAATATATACACATGACATTATTAATGATATGCAAAAAACAAAAAAAAAAAAAAGTTACTTTGAGGAGTTAGCCCCACTATCTTCTTTTACTTTTTTTTTTTAAAAAAAAATTAATATTATAATTAAGAGTTGAAAATTACAATTTCTACATTAAATTATAATTTAAATGAAAAAATTTAATGTTAATATGAAAAAATTAACCCCTAAAACAATATATTATTAAATTGATTAAATAAAATATTTATTTATAATTTTAAAATCACAAAATTACTTTATTGGTTAAATGGCCAGTAAATGAATTGTCGGCCATATTTATATGTATATATAATATTTACGTAATTAATTGTAATTATATTTAATTAATTGTAATCATGTCGGCCCCCCCCCAAATTATGGAAACAGTTTAAAGTTTATTATGTGTCCATGTGGCTTAGACAACTCCTACGTCACTCCTTTAAATCTTTTAGAGGACAGACCACATACATCCTCTCTAAAGACAAACCTTGCTCTATAATTACTTTCTACACATATATATATATATATATACACACTTCGATATATATATATATATATATATATATATATATATATATACACAGACATACATACACAATATTTTTTTTTATATCAGTCTACCATGAGATGTGACTTATTTATTAACGGAGTGTATTATAAATTAATTTATAATATTTAATTAAATAAATATAACTTAATTTATTAATATATTAATAAAATTATTATTATAATTATAAAAATTTAATTAATAAATTTTTTTGGTAATAGTTTTTATTTTTATTTTTTCGTAATATAATTATACTTATATTTTATTAGTTTATAATTATTAAATTAATTTATTTATAAAAATATTATAAATTAATATTCACCGATTTATAATATTTAATTTATTAAAATTAATTTAATTCATTAATTTAAATTAAATTAATTTTTTATTAAAAAAATACTATATATATATATATATACGTAGATATGTATGTATATGTGTAATTATAATTAAATTAATTGGAAGTCAATATATAGTTTTAGGACAAGAATAAAACACCACGTTAACACAATGCTACGAACTGTAGACATTATTAAGAATAGAATCTTGGAAGCGGGCGTGTGCTTTTGCTTCTTGATTTTTTGCTTAATCTGCTGGCAACTCACTTCATCAATACATTAAATCAATATTTTATATAATTAATATATGCATCATATACATATACATATACATATACATATACGTATACATATATATAATTTTAATTTTATGTTTAAATCTGAAATTAATACAGATTAAAATGTAATTATTATTTTTTTTTTTATTGATCAAATGTGGGTTGTAATGTACGTGTTTATTTGTTTGGTTCTGATCTTAAATTATATATATTTTTTTAGTAATTAATTAAATATATGAAATTATATAATCAATAACTCCATACGCCATTCATGTGCATATATACTCATTTATATATATATATCATACTAATTCCAAATATTTATTTAAATTTTTTTTAAAAATTTTAAAAGTATGATTTTTGGACTGTGCTATTATTTAATTTAATAAAGTATACTTCTTTATCATCAAAATCTTAGTTTATGATAATAAAAAAATTTAAATTTTTAATTATTGTAACGAGGAATATTTACATACATATATTACTATGATGTATTAAAATAACATTAAACTTATAGTTTGCATCTATGCTTATATCATATGTAATGATTCAATGAACTATATGGATATATATATATATATATATATATATATAGGATTAAGAATCAAATATCAAAGAACTGGAACAGACTGTCGATGCACGTATTTTAATTATGAAACTAATGAACTCAATCCAACTTTGTTTAAATCCATTCATGCTCGACAAAATTACTTGTCTTCTATGTATACATATATACTTACACACACACACGCGTATATATATATATATGTGTGTGTGTGTGTGTTCGCACGTGTCTCATCTGTAATGAGTGGGAATAAACGATAAAGAAGCCACCATTTTTTGTGAGCTTGGTGCCCCAAGTACAATACACAAAAGCATTTAAAAGCCTCCGATTCAGACAAATGAAAAGTAAAATTTATATTAAATTAACAAAAGTAATGTGTTTAATTAGCTGAAACATTGGGTAATTAGTGTCGTTTTGTCCTCTAATTTTATCTTAATTACCTTACTTACATCATAATCTTCTTTTTTTTTTTTTTGTTTTTTGTTTTATTCACTTTTTACTGTCATTATCAATTATAATTACTTCCCAACATAATAAAAACTTTGGTGGGTACATTGAATATTTTAATATCCTAATTGGTGGGTAATAATTACTTATCCCAATAATTAAGATAAGATCAATTTTCTTTTTTTTTTAATTAAATTTTATAACCCATATGTAAATTAAATCACTAACTGTGGATTATAAAAGAGTAAGCATCATAATTAACAATTGGACTCGAGTAAATTACTTTCTTAATCAATAAGGAACAAAACCCTATTTTCACTTTTGACTTTAATGGAGTTTGTATGGTTCTAATGAAGACATATTAACTTAGCAATTTTTAGTGGATTTGATTTGAAGGTTTGTTTGCATTTGTTAAAAGAGAGACGTGCTTCAAGTGTTCTACTTTTTGTTTTAATTTTATTATATTTAATTTGTACTAATTTTAATTTTTAAATTTTTTTAAAAAAATTATGTATAATTATAATTATTTAAAACATAATAAATTACTAAACATGTTAAAATTATATTTTAATTAGTCAAAACACAATTGAGTTTACATTTTTATTAATACTTAGTAATTCTAAATAATTATTTATTTATTTAAATATATTCAAATTTTGATAAGTATATTATTTATCATACAATTATTGTATAAAATTAGAAACGTTCACGACACCTATTATAAAAAAAAAATACAATTTTTCGTGATTCTATAAGTGATAAACTCTTTTTGTAAAAAGATACGATTCTCAGTGAGTATATAAGAGATAAATAAATTATTTATGTTTAATTAAGAAAGAAGATAACGTTCGTTAACAAAAAAAAAAAACGAATTATCATTCTCTTTCTCACGTTGAGTTAAACCGTGAACAGATTTTGAATTTGTTTGGTGTAAAAATTATCGATAATAAACAAAATACATCAGCAACTAAACATCGTTTATATAAAAAATAAAAAAAAAATACATTTTATTCTATTATTTTCTCGTTTAAAATTAATTATAAATTTCTAAGAATGATAATAACAAAAATAATTTAATAATTATTGAGTTAACCTTACATTAATTTAATATATAGTTTTACCCACCTTCCGATTAAATCATTATCATCCCCCTACGTAATTATTGTGCCACCCTAACCACACACAAAGAATTATAGCATTATGAATAAATTAATTTAAGTTTAATTTACAAGTTCATAATTAAGAACAAATCGAATTTCGATTGATTCCATAAATATTTTTGTAATAAACCAATTATTAATACGAACATGCCACGGAATTTGGCAATTGGGTCCCATTGAAAAAATTGTAAATGTACATAAAAAATGATTGAAATGATATATATACATACATACATACATACATACATACGTATTGTTGTTGGTGGGCATATTGCATATGACCCATGACCCTATTAAGTTGCTAGTCAGTTTTGACCTGTCAGCGGGCCATGCTCGGCATATTAGGATATGTCTTAGGGTACATTTGTCATAAATTATTAAAATAAAGTTCTGTAATAACATTAATGTACGTATGTACGTACGTATGTATGTATGTATATGTATATGTACGTGACCATACACCTGCTAAGAGGGTAATATAAGTTTTTAAGGAAAAAGGGTGACACAAAATATCATGGGTTATTCGAATTTACGAAGAAGAAAATATATTTTAATTAATTTAATTTTACACAATTATTTGATTTGGCAGAGAATGAAAACAAGTTAGGAGTCATTGAACAAGTCCATGTTTGTGACCTTTACGGTCGGCCAATTCTATTCCTACGGTTGACCTCGTGCCCGTGCCCACTTTATTTTCCATATTTACTACGTCATATATATATATATATATATATATACACATTTAATTTTCTAAACAATATCATAATACTTTATATTTAATTATAAATTCAGGGGGTGTTTGGTTAAATTCTATAAAATATAGGGTTCATTTTATTTTTTTTATTAATTTATAAGCTAAGTGTTAATTTTATAAGTTGAAGTGTTAAATTCTATAAATTACCATATTTATTTGAAGTATTTTAAATAGTAAATGCTAACTTATTGAAATATTATTTAGTCGCAATAAAATATTATTTTATTTATAAGTATAATGAATTAATTAAAATTTAATTTAATTTTATTATTATAATTTTATTAATACACTGATAAATTATAAGTGTTAAATATTTATTTTTATAATAGAAAAAAAAAGTACATAATTACAAAGATGTTATATAGTTTTGCATGCATTTAACCATATAGTTTTGTACGATTTTATTAATTAAATAATTAATATATTTTTTTACAAAGAAATTGTAAGTACGTATTCAAATATGTAATTATTTATATAGACACTCTTAGTTTTTTCTCATTTGATTTGTGTAATAAATATAGATACGAGTTTTTTTTATATATAAATGTCATTTTAAAAAAAAATATTTTCAACGATCTTACCTCCATAATATGTGTTAAAATTTTATTTAAAATAAAGAAATAAATAAATATGAAATCTAAAATTGCTAAAATTACGTAATTAAATATCTAATAGAGTAATTAGGCGAGACTAATGAAGATTAGAGCTAGTGGCATTGACTGTAACCGGTATAGGAATAGAAACATTCCACGCCACCAAACACACCCCTTACTATCGAAATCTCGTTTCTCGGGCCATACCTTCGCGAATATCGAGGAAATCAATAATTTTTTCATATTTCCGGTTTTACCCCTCTTATATATATATATATAAAAATAATTTAGTAAGACTGTATATTGTTATTATGATTATTTTATTTTTTAATTTTTTTTAGAAACTTCCCGTTTATTTATTTATTTATTATTATTATTATTATTATTATTATTTTCTTTTTTAAATGTCCTTTTTGTGGTTTTAGTGCTCTTCCCTTTGCTTCCAGGAGAGAGCCGAGACTCCACCAGAAAAGCTTTTTTAATGGATGCTTCGATCTCTGTCTCTTCCCGTTTCAAAGAAATTTCCTAACCCATGTAAGCAGTTTCTTAATACGGTTTAATTAGATTAGTAACTTCCATTTATACATTATTCTTGGCTCCTGATTTCTTTTTTCGGTTCCAATCATGAGATCTTTGAATTTCCGTCCGTGGGTTTTTCATTTCTATGTACTGAGAGAGCTGATTTAGACCCTTAGTTTGTTGCAGAAATCAGGTTTTTTATGAGTTGTTTTTTTCCTTAAATAGTTATTTAAAAGGAATTTTAATATGAACATGGGTTTAGTTTTTTTTTTTTTTTTTTGAATATTAAATTATGGGTTATTGTTGAAATGGGCAGACCAGGTTCAATGAGTGTGGATTGGGATCCATGTTGGATCTCTTGGTTTTTGTTTTATTGTTATTATTATTGACATTTTTGTTTTGATTTATTAAGTGTCTTCTGTTATGCTGATATTGGTTTCTGTGTTCGTGTCTGTTTTTGCATTTTTATATCAGCGCTTTGGGTTGCTTGTCTGGAGAGAAAGTTAGAATCTAGCATTGCTCCCGCCTTAAAAAGCTGGTTTGTCGAGGTGGGTTTCATGGCTTGAACTCAAAGAATAATGGGTAGCCTAAGCCAAGAGGAAGAATTTCCATTTTTTGATTGCCATGAAGAGATTGTGTCAACTTCTGCTATAAATTCTGATGGCATTGAGATAGTTGGTACAAATACTACTCCGGAGGATCTCCTTCGAGGTGGTCTTCCATATGATGTTTGGATTGGTTGCCCGGGAAGTGTGATGGAGCGGCGGAGTAAGTTCTTCAATTGGATGGAAGAGGGTTTAAGTGGAATTGGACAAGAGAAGTCAGTAGATGTGTGTAGTTCAGAAGGGGGTGTTGATAGAGTTAGACTTAGCAGTGGTGCAGTGTTGAGAACCCCAGGGTTTGAAGATGAATTTTGTTCTACTCGGTCTTCGATGTCTTATTGGTCTAATGATTATTCAGAGATGTCCGAGGATTTGAGAATAGGCGGAGATTTTGTGTGTAGAGAAGGGAATTTTGGTGGGGAGATGTTGTGTGATGTAGATGAATCAGGGGAGGATAGCAGGGTAGATGAATGCACCGTAATGGGCTCGGAGCAGTACGTAGCAGGTGTAGAGTCTGATAGTGCTTCTACATCATCTCCCTTCTTTCGACATCTTTTGGACAAAGAAGTTGGGGAGAAGAATAAGTTGATGGGAGTAACTAAGAGAGGTAACAATGGGTGGTTGAGTAGATTACGCTCAATAGCATGCATTGTGGATGGGCAAGATAGATTTAGATGTGATGATGATGATACAATTTTGGGCCCATAGGGTTCAGAGAATTAAGGTTAGGGCAGTACCGCAAGCAATCAAAAGAACTTTCAGCTCTTTACAAGGGGCAAGATATCAGGGCACATCAAGGTTCAATCTTGACTATGAAATTCAGTCCTGATGGGCAGTTCCTTGCAAGTGCCGGCGAAGATAGAATCGTGAGAGTTTGGCAGGTGGTAGAGGATGAGAGGTCCAACGAGCGTGACATTCCAGAAATAGATCCATCATGCATTTACTTCTCAGTGAATCATCTTTCTGAGTTGAAACCCTTCTTGGTTGATAAGGAGAAGACAGGGAAATCAAGGAATATGAAAAAAACATCGGAGTCAGCTTGCGTTATCTTTCCCCCGAAAATTTTCAGAATATTGGAGAAGCCATTGCATGAATTCCATGGGCACAATGGTGATGTTTTGGACCTCTCTTGGTCAAAGAATAATGTGAGTAATTATTTTAAGTAACACCAACCTTCTAAGACCCTTCTAATGCAATACATAGAGTTCTATTTATTCTAGTAGTTCAGATCTTTATTATATATTTCTTGATGCAGCATCTACTGTCATGTTCAGTCGATAAGGCTGTTAGACTCTGGCGAGTAGGGTGTGACCACTGCCTTGGTGTCTTTTCGCATAGTAATTACGGTATGCTTCCTGTGTCTGTGTTTCTTAACATGCAATTCTTTAGTTGTGTCATCTGTCATACTTGGGAAATTGCTTATTTTCTCCCAAAACTTTATCTAACAAACTTTTCTTTTACATAATTTTGTGATGCAGTGACCTGTGCTCAGTTTAACCCAATAGATGATAACTACTTCATTAGTGGATCAATAGATGGAAAAGTTCGCATCTGGGCAGTTTCTGGTTGCCAAGTTGTTGATTGGACTGACATAAGAGAGATTGTCACTGCAGTGTGTTATCGTCCAGATGGGCAGGTTTGATGTTCTCTCTTTTTTTTTCTTCTTTTTTTTAACAAGTTCATTTTCCCTTTTCACATAGAAGCTAGGTTTTGTATTCTTGTGGTTAATCGGTCTGGTTAATGTCCTCTCTTATTTCAGGGAGGTATTGTTGGGTCTTTGACGGGCAATTGTCGCTTCTACAGCATATCAGGTATGCTTTTTTCTATTTCCTTTTCTCTGTGAGTTCGTTGCTCAGTTCTATTGAACCTGGATCTCTAATGTTTAAGTTTCTATAATCTGTGGGTTAATCTATCCGGAATTTTAACATCAACAGGGCAATTAGGAGTGTCATGGAGGGGTTTTGGGGAAAAATACTTTCTACTCTTCTGTGCATCTCCATTCGCACAAGCCACTTGTCTGACTTAAATGAATCACATATGAAGTTTACAGTACTGAGTAGGAATTAGTTTAGTCATCCAGAGAATCACTAGGACTAATTTATAAATCTTAAAAAAAAAGGAAAAGGGAGAAGTAGAAAAAGAAGTCGGGTAGAATTTCTGAATGAACTATCACAGATATCTTCTAGTGTGGCACATTATTTTTCTTTCTGAATGAATAATCACAGATATCAACCATATTCAAGTTTTTTTTTTCTTTTTGAGGGGCTAATATCGATGAGGTAGTAAGAAAATTTGTAAGAAATAAATTGGGGGTCAGTGGCACGAGTCATGGTTTTTAAAAAATTGTTTGATTAAGTTTTCCTTACCTTACGTTTGCATTTTTCTTAGTTCAGATAATCACTTGCAACTGGATGCTCAGATCTGCTTGCATGGCAAAAAAAAGTCTCCCTTCAAAAGGATAACTAGCTTCCAGGTAGTTCTTTCTTGCCTCTTTCTTTATTTTGTTGGTTACAATTTGTTACTCTACTCTGTTTCTGAAATATGCAATTTTTGCTATGTTATTACTCACAGTTTTCCCCACAAGATAATACCAAGCTAATGGTCACTTGTGCTGATTCGCAAGTCAGAATTCTTGATGGCCTGAATGTTATTGGCAAATACAGAGGTACATTTATGCTTCTTTTGTTCAGCCTTCTTTCCTTACTATTCCTTTTTCTCTTTTGTTCATAAGTTGGGCTTGTGGAAAATTTGGATTTTCTTAGTCAAACCTGCTGCAGTTTATCAGGAAATGATTACTAACTGCTCCTGTATTAGAATCCATGCTGTCAAACTATGCTTTTCTTTTGCAAGTTAACAA